ATTTTATTTATATATTTTAACAATTTAAAAAAGTAGATCAGAGCTAAAAAAATGCAAAAACATAGGCAAATTTGTCTGTATTAGTCTACAATCTAAGAGATAACTTATATTATATTGACCAATTTAGCTAGCTAAACCAGCTTAGTTATAACTGATTTAAATTACTATAATAAACAATTCTTATAACACAAGTTTCTAAATTTGAAATTTGTATCTCAGAATTAATTTATTTAATAAAAATCTAAAATTATTAATTACATAAAATTAAATAATTAGTTATTTTTAATATATAATAATTGACTAATTATATTTATTATAATTTTATTAAATTAAAAATATTTTACAATCTAATAACTAAAATTTAATAATTTTTATGTAGTTCAATTCATCATATTGAAACAAACCAAATGTTATAAAAATTAACAAATTCCAACTACTAGTTTATAAAATATCATCAATAATATACACTCTGATTTTTTTTATATTTATCTTAATAATAGGTTGATTTTTTTTTATATATTTGTTATTTTACTTAATCTAACAAATAAGATATATTTTTCTAAATTATTTTTATATCATACCTTAAAAATGCAATAGTTAAAATTAGTAAAATTTTAACTTAATAAAACAATAATTTGTTATAATATAATTCTTTATATTTAAAGAATATAAAATAAGATTAACTTAACCTTTTATTTAGGTTTTGCATAAATGTTATTTAAAATCTGTTTGTGCATCTTTCATGAAGTACCAGGTCTTAGTTACGCGTCGTTTTTTTCTTTATTTTAAACCGAAATACTTTTGTTTTCTCAAATTATGAATTAAACTACCTTCGATCTCTTATAAAACTCGTTTTAAGAAACTTTTTAAATATTATAATTATTTTAGATTAATTTTAATGAAATATAGGTATTTGAAAGCTTTTCCCAAGCTTTTGTTTTTAATACAGTAATTTTTTTATTGATCATCATTGAACATCGGTTTGTCGGAAAGTTACGTTATACCAAATCGTGCAGCCTGATTGGCCAATTTTGGCAAATCGATATTTTTGACTATATCGATAAATATTTTTTCACTGTCCCTGGCACTTTGGTCACGTGCTAATAAAGACCTGAATTTCAATCGAAAAGTCGAAAGTTTATTATTTTACACGTAAAAAAAAATCAAGGTATGATACAAAAAAGATCTAACCAAAAAAATCCACTTATAAATCAAACATTAATAAGAAATCAAACATTAATAAGAAATCAACATTAATAGGAAAAGAACAAGGTAATTCGCCAGTGTTTTATTACACTAAGAATTCATTGGTAAATGAATTCTTTGATAATAAATAGAAAATTGATACGTAATATGTACAAAGTATATAAAGCTAATCCTAAAAATCATAACCGAAAACTTATTTGGGAAGAATAAAAACATTTAAGGATCCTCACTGCTAAAACTACCAAAACTGCTAAAACTGGATAAGTATGGATCAGTTTGAAGTAATGCAGGATCAATTAATCCATTTATGCCTAACATAAACAAGTCATCTTGATAATATTCGATTCTTGGATTGAATCGGGTTACAGCAGAAGATGGTTGACTGTGCGGTTGTGATGGAGAAATTATAGCACCAGATGATATATATTGAGGTATTTGTTGTTGGAGCTGCTGTGGAGTTGAAGGTGGCATTATAGCATAAGTTACGTGCTGAGGTGTTCGTGGTTGATAATATTGAAGATATTGTTGTCCAGAAGAGGTTGTTAAGAGTACAGATGGATTGATAAATTGTTGTGGAGCCGTTTGAATATATTGATGTTGACCTGCAGACGTCATATTACTTGATGTTAAATATTGTTGCGTTATTTGTGCAGCAATATTTTGTTGTGGGATTATTTGTTGTTCCATGATCGTGGGCGATAAATAATAAGACGAGGAGCTTCGTCTTTCTTTAGATGGCATGGTTGAAGATACCAAAGAAGAAATGGGAGTTATTTGGGCAACAATATTTTGTGTATTTTGTTGAGGGATGATTTGTTGTTCAATGACCGTAGGCGATAAACAGGAGGTTTGCCTTTCTTTAGGTGGTATGATTGAAGATGCCAAAGAAGAAGCGGGTGGTGTTTTGTCTTGACTGTATTGCTCGTTAGTGTTATTCGATCTTTTACGTTTTCTACCAGCACTGCTCCTTGCTTCTTTATTTCTAACAGGAGAATATTTATAATTTGGATATAATAATGCATGTTTTAATTTCGCAATTTCTGTTAATTTTATCCAAAATTGGTATTCATGCTGGTCTCTCTTGATAGCCGCCCATCTTTCTTTTGCAATTTTAGACGATTTTGGAACGTTTTTTCCAGTTCTTTTCTTATCGCTACTATGATCGCCTTTCTGTGGATTATACTCGGCCGTTATGTCGTTGCGAAAGAGTATAAAACAGTTTTGTGGACGTGGGATTGTTTTGGCTCTAGTATTGACCGAAGAATTCCATAAATGGTCTATCCGTTTCGTCGTTCGAACATCACCATATTCATGAATAAGTTCATTTACCAACTGTACCACTTCACGAGGCTCCTTGCTAAGATCTATTTCTTGTCGAGCGATAGGCATTCGACCGGCCTCACGTACAATTTCGGATGGTGAACTAGAGCGAGATCTGGATGTTGTAACTTTTGCCATACTGGATGTTATAACTTTTGGCATACTGATATTTTCTTTTTTCTTAAAAAAAAAAAAACAAAAAAAAAACAAAAAATAATTTTGTATTTTACGTATTCTTGAGATTTTATAATACTTTATGAATTGAAGAAGTAAGAGAAGATTTTAACAATTTCAATGTATTTATGTCAAAAAGATCTGTGATGGCGTGTGTGATTAGAAAAAGATCCTGATTTATATTTTTGACGCGTAATATAAAAAATTATTGCTTATATAATACATTTTTTAAATACAATTCTGCCCACAGTAAAAATCTGAGCTAAACTTAAAAGATTTCGATAAGTACAGTTGATTATTTATTAGCATGTATATATATATATTCCATTTAGGGAATGAAATTGTATCTTAAGCTTGCGCACGGATGTATGCTCTTGATAAATTTGTGAATCAAGAATAATATCATTACCGACCATATAGGAATAGATTCGGTTACAATACACTATGTAAGATCGCATATTGTCAAAAGTTTAACGGTACAATACACAAATAGATTTTTCCATGCTACTGTACTGACAAAAATAAAAAATAAATAATGATTTAGCGATGTCCACATGAAAATAAGGGATTCAAATAGAGATCTGAGCGTCCCAAACAAACAATACTTTACAATAGGCACCAAGTGTGGCAAATTTATAAAAATAAAAGCTTAGGATTAAATGCTATAAGAGTACATATAAAAGTAGGTGTAAACCCCAATAATGTCGCTTTTTTAGTAAGTGTTACATTTGTATTATCATTTGACTAACCGTGAACTTAACTTATTTGATTTCTAATATGAAGAAAAATAAACTCGTTTTCTAATGCACGATCCACCCAAATCAAAACAAGATTTGCTATTATCCAATAAACAAACTCGAAAATCCAGATATAGAAGTTAGTATTTTAAGATAAATTGGGTTATATTGAAGTCAATGATTGTGTCATATATCCACAACTTATTCTCAAAACAGAAACATCTGCATCTAGATCCTCAAACAATGGAAGCACCGCCTTCAACTTTCTTAAATACAATTTAGAATGTGACCATGGAGGAAGAAATAACTTTGCAGGCCAAGTCTGATTATGATGAAAGTACAACGATCATACTTAAGATTCTTTTCTTACGGAAAATAAATTTTGAACAAAAGAATGGACATTTTACTAACCGTTGGCGAAAATTTTCTCTACCAAATTAAGAAAGAGATAATGAGAAAAATTTCCCGCTTTTAGGTAAACAAGAGTTATGCAAGGTGGATAGTTTAATAAATAAAGTTTGTTAAATAACGCATTTTTTAACAATAAGCTGTTAAGACCAAGCCTTATTGAAAACGCACCTTTCTTTTTATAATGGACCTTCAGACCATTAGTGAATTTTGTAATAATTGTCATTATAACGAAGTTTATACGTCGATATAATGGCATTATAAGAGATTTTAAACATCGGCCTTTTACTTTTCGAGGCTAAAAATCATGCAAGGAATCTAGATTCCTAATAGAAGATTCTTTATTTGGTTTATCTTTTTATAGTCTCTCATCAAATCTGTAACAATTAGCTTGTTCAATTTTTAGTTTAACCAACAATTGTTACAAACTTTTAGGTGCGCATATTCTATAATGTTATTTTACCGATAAAATAATAGCAGCCAGTAATTATTATCCAATCAGATCACAGTCATGTGTATGTGAGAATACTTTTTTTTATACCGATACCGATAGTATGTACAAAAAATAAAACCGAACCTTAATTATGATTAGAATATAATCATTATGATTTGGCTATAAATCAATTTTATCGTTATAGTGCGTATTCCAATTCAGTTGTAAAACCGGTTTTGAAATTCAAACCTTTTTTTTTTGAGCTCAGATCTTATTCATATAGCGATCACAACTTAAAATTTGAAACCGGTTTTATTTGTCCGGCAGACTCGATTTTGATTGGCTAAGAGCGACGATCGAAAATTTTGGCCAGAATTACTCAAAATTTTACTAATGGAATCACAGCCGACCATTAAATTAAAATTGTTCCTGGGCCAATTTTATCATTGTTCGGGCTTATTTCTTTGAAAATTCCTATTCTTGGAGATCGTCTAAAGCGAGGAGAAATTACGTGACATAAACCCAATCAGAGGATCAATCTATTTATATAAATCAATCAAACCCTAAATTGGCCACATGATTTATCTCCGCTCCTATTCTTGGAATGAAAAGGTTAAAAGTTAATTCCGGCCAGAAATTAGTAAACAATTACTAATACGGGCCAAAATTTTGCAGATTCACGATCGTAAGCTAATCGAAATCGAGGATTTGCCGGGACAATTTGTTGCGGCAGCTATAATTAATATTAAGGGAAACCTCTTTTGCTAGACTCAGTCTTGTATAGCTATTATTTACATATCATATATGTTCGGATCACGGCTGAGCCTATCAAAAAACAGGATCGATGTTTTCCTTTAGCCGCACTGCCAGAATAAAAATCATAGAGGAATTTTTTGAGAAAAATAAAAAGTTGAAGAGAGAATGGTGTTTGTAGTTTTTTATTAAGTTATATTTCATATGAAAAGCAAAAATTGGAACCAAACTCATTTATCTGGAAGTTGTAATTAAAAAATTATTGTATATAAACTTTTAATAAAAGATAAAATGATTTAATTCAGGTAATTATTTATATATAGTACATGTCTTCACATTCAGTATTATTGTCACATTTTTCACTTGAGGATCAATATTGATTAGTTAATTAAATTGTTAATTTTTATAAAACGAAGAAAAGCAAAACAAATCAAAAATGCAAAGAATTTGAGTCTATCCAAACCTTGAAATACCAGTAAAAATGCCGGGAAAGCAATTTTGTCTATAACTTCTTTATAATCTTTAAATCAACTAAATTTTATCTATTTTAGATTTAGAACCCTTTCTAAATAAACAATATTAGTGGAAGTAGAATGGTCTGTTTAGGTTAGGATTAAATTCAATATTATATGTAAAATTGCATTTTATACACTTTTTGGTTTAGTGCATAAAGATAGGTTTAGACTGTTGCTTTTAATATTTTCCTGTCCATTTTCGGACCTTAGTCTAACTGCGAAAACGTATCTCTTACCTAATAGCAAACTCTTTTTTTTTTTTTTTTTAGATGGAACGTCATAAGTTCGTATGATAATTGAATTCAATTTCTACATAATATATTGATTTAGAATTAAAACTCATAAATATTCATTTTTTTAACTCAAACCTGAATATGATCTAGTACAAAGTTCATTAGATTATCTGAAACGGAGTATAACAACACACATACTAGGAACTGTATGTGTTGATGTGTGATAACACGTAGTATACCAGGATCGAAACAAATGTAATTTTTGGTCACAAGATAAAATAATTTTGTCATCGATCCCTACAAAAATTTTGAAAAACATATCTTGACTTTCTCCAAGTTATCGTTCCGAAAAATGCACATTTTTCCGGAATAAACCATATATAAATTTCTAGTAATTTATGTAAGGTCCTGATAACTTCCGGGTAAAAATTGAATCCGGTAATATTTGGATTTAATCCTTACCCAGAAGTAATCAGGATTTTACAGAAGTTACCAGGAATTTATATATGCTGCGTTCCGGAAAATGCCATTTTCCGGAATGCTAACCTGGGTAAAGTCGGTGTATGTTTTTTTTAAAAAAAAATTTCTTACACCGGTGAAATGTCAATATGATATCATAATATATAAAGATCTCGATTCTAATCATGATTTAGATTACTCAAAGTATTATGTGTGTGAAGTTTATCATGATTAGCATCGCAGAAACGGACAGTCAGACATCTACACGTGATATTACTACTAATCATGCTCAAGCTCAAGCTATAGTTTGTTAAATTGATATAAAAAGTCTTATAAATCCATATATAGCGACAAAAAAATCTCGTATAAATATAATAATCTCAATGAGAAATCAAATAAATTTAGTATAAACTTAAAAATGCAAACTACCGATCACGTGAGTCATGCTTTTCTTAGACACTACTAATACCGTAAAAAAATATTTATATATGAATTTTTCAAAAAGCTTCCAACTGTTGGTGATTTATTTTGCGGTGCTGGGGGCTTGTCACTAGGTGCCAAAATGGCAGGCTTTAGAGTCAAATGGGGTCTTGACAATGGACAAAGCGCGGCAGAAACATATAAATTTAATCACGAAGATGCGATAGTTTATACTCTTGACATTTATGACTTCATCAAAAATCATATAAGTCGTAAAACTCAGAAAGTCGACGTTTTGTTAGCTGCGCCACCATGTCAAGGATATACAACGGCAAATACGCGTGGCAATATAATTGACATGACAAACAATATGGTCTTGGCTTTGACAGTTCCGTTGGTTGTCGATAAACTCAAACCTAAAATTTTAGTATTTGAAAATGTTCGAGGATTCTTTAATAAAATTAAAAGCGACGAAATGTATAAAATTTTTATCAATGATATGATGGATATCGGGTACGTATCCACAAAATGCTTAATCATAAAAGAAATAAAATCACTATTGTTTAATTTTATTTCATACCAAAGATATAAAATAGAAACACGAATATTGAAAGCTGCCAATTTTGGTGTTTGTCAACGCCGAGAAAGATTTTTTCTTATGGCAGTGAAACAGGGAATACGTATGCCATTGTGGCCAGAGCCAACACATTTCATAGATGGTGAATGCACAGAACAAGAACGATCTAATTATTTAGATATAGGATTGATGCCGACACCAACTGTTTCGAAGGCTTTCGAAGGTATATAAAAATCATCATTCAATCTTATGATTTTGTCGAATTATACTTTAAAATTATTTATTAGGTTTGACAGATTCATCGCCTAATATGGAGTATTGTAAGACAACTCCATATCATTTAAAGCGGCTCACGTTAGATTCCGTCCCTTCTACGGTATTGTGCACGATTAATCCAGGGTGGGATAATATCCATCCTACTGAATTTAGACATATTTCAGTTAGAGAACAGGC